AGGGAGGGAGGGACACACACACACAGAGAGAGACAGAGAGAGATAGAGACAGAGAGAGAGCCAAATGTTTACTTCAGAGAGCAGATCAGTACAGGACCCAGTACCCACTCAGAGCTCCTCATGCTATCTTAACATTAAGAAAGAATCATTGCATTTTTGTCCTTGGGTAACAACTGTCAGCTACGCAAAGGTTCCAGCTATCCTGGTCCTGCTTGTGGTGGTTAACTTTGACTGTCCATGTGACTGGACTAGGAACTACCTCCAGGGCATCATGTCTGTAAGGGACTTCAAGAGACAGTTAGTTCTGACTAAATCAAAGGATTAACCCTTCTGAGTTCACTGAGCTGTGGTGAAAGGGCAGGTGGGACCTGTGGGAGGAAGCAGGACCCTAGGGACAAGTCCTCAGGACTGCAACCTGGCCCTGGCCCTGGCCACTTGCTCTGTATTCTCTTTACTCTGTATCCAACAAGAAGCTAAGCACTGCCTCCCATGTCTTCCCACTACCATAACGCTCTGTCTGAATGCATGCAGTCCAGCAACAGTGGGCTAACTCTGTGGAACTGTGAGGCAGAGAAACCCTCTTTCCCCTAAGGGCATCTCAGGCCATCTGGCCACTGAGACACAAGCAAAGTTGACATGCTATTTGCCATTGTTTAAAAAAGAACAGGACCAGGCTACCCACATATAGTTTCCTGTCCATGTGCAGAAACATGGACATCAAGTATGCCGGGGTAACTGCGTGTGCAGAACTAAGGAATGCACCAACACTATCTGTAGAACAGAGACTAAGGTGACACAGGCACAATTCTGGGACACGGCCACTTGGGCCTCTCACATGCTACCCCTCACCCGTCTCCAGTACTTCCATCAGGAATTCTGGCATGCTGATGATTGTCTAGGAGTCCCTCCCAGGAGCACGCTGGGTTGCACTCACCTATAAGCACCTGCTCTGGGGAGGTGGGAGGCGTCAGAGGCATCCCGCAGCTAGTAGGGTCTTTCACACTACCAAGTCCCTGCTGTGCAACTGTGGCGTGCCCGCTGGCACTGGCACCACTCTGAGGAACTGGGATGTCATTCTGAGAGATCAACACAAAAGCCGAAGGGTACACCATCCGGACACCACCTGTGAGGAAAGACAGCAAGGATCAGGCCTGAAAAACAGTCTCAAGTGAGCAGGTCAATGGGGACACTTGCTTGAACATGTGTCCCAGAGTCACCATGACGACAGCACAGGGGACAGGAAGCAGGGGCCACAGGTGTGGAGAACCTGAGTGGTCATCTCTTTAAATTAACAATGGAGCTAGAATACAGTCTTTCAGGCAAACACTTTCTTACCAACAATGACTTCAACTGCCACCGGGAAGTCATCGTCATATTCCAGCTCAGCCTCCTCCCGAGGCTCCTCCTTCTTCCTCAGCACCATCGGGTAGAAACACTGCCATTCCTCAATCAGCTTGCGGGCGGCTGGGTCGGACATCTTGTATGCATGTCCTGTTAGTGTGCCGTTTAAGCCGTAAGGACTCACCAGGACTATGGAGAGGAGAGACAAGGATCACAGTGTCCTATCGATTTGGTTGTTTTAGGTTAAAACACAGCACTACTTCATACCCTTTGAATTATATTCTGACGTCTTTCACAGTGTGGCTTTAAAGTTTACTTTAGAATTATTTATGTGTGTTTTAATTACATCAATTTGGGAAAACCATTACACTTTCAATTCTATCAATATATACTATATAAATAATCTACACATTAAAATACACGCCTGCCAATAGAGAATGGCTGTTCAACATGAAGACTACATTTGGCATGGACACCCAGGCCTATCTGGTACTTAACATTGATGTGGAGCCTGAGAACCCCACACATGTAATAATCAAAGAATAACAGGCAACACAGAATACATAATAACATATAACAGTAATAAAACTCCTACTAGCAAATCTTAATGTCCAGAGCGTGAAGCACACAGCTTACTTGTGACCCATGTGACTGCAGAGATGCGCGCTGAGCATGCTTAGGCTGTGTGAACACCAGGATGGAGCTGACACTAGTTGTGTTTTCTTTCAGTCTTGGAAGCCAAGGTTGTTTTGGTGGAGTCAGAAGCACACTGGGTTACTGTGGCCCTTACACTGTAGCCCTGGGAACACATCTTTGGAATAATCCTTTCTAAGGGACTAGACAACTTAGAGTGGGAAGAACCCCATTTCCCTTTGGCTTTGTGTGCACACTGCATGTATGTGTACAGTCTTATGTGTACACGTGTGTGTGCCCATGAGTCTAGAGAGCAGGGATAGATATCAGAGTTCTTCCTCTCTATATCTTTGTCTTTTAAATTAATTTGTATGTGCAAATATGGAGGTAAGAGGACAGTCTGCCAAAGTCTGTTCTCTCCTATCGCCTGGGTCCCAAGGGTTAAACTCAGAGCGCTTATCAGGGGAACATTACTCGATGGGCCACCTTCCTGGATCTCTGCCATAGTTGGAGAGATCAGGTATCTCACTGAACATGAAGCCCACAGGTCTGACTGCCTGCTGGCCAGCAAACCCCAGGAATGTGCCCATCTCAGTGCCCCAGAGCTGAGGGTCTAAGTGTGTCCTATCCAGCTCTGACCTGACGCTGGAGAGCAAACTCAGGCTCTGGTGCGTGTGGAGCAAGCACTGCACTCACTGAGCCGTCTCCCCCGCCTCCCTTTTGGCTTTCTGAGACAAATCTCACATAGCCAAAGTTATCTTTAATCCAATATGGACCTAAGTCTGACCTGGAATTCTCTATCCTTCTAAAACTGGGAGGGCCAGAGCTGACTTCATATGTGCTCTCTAGGGACCTTTATTCCTAAGACAACCGCTCCCAACTTCCCCAGTCAAAAGCTACTTATTTGCTCTTGTGACCTTTATAACTTCATAAATGCTTTTATTTTAAGTGGTACCATTGGAGATGAAGTCAGCTGTCCCTTCACATTTTCAAATTCAAATAAACACAGCATTTAAATCTGATAACCTGTAATAGCATGTGCTGTGCAACATCTTAGTTTGTGTATTGAGAATTGGGCTATTTTAAATTTTATATGAATGTTATAGTTGTTTTGTGTGTGTGTGTGTGTGTGTGTGTGTGTGTTTCAAGGCAGGGTTTCTCTGTGTAGTTCTGGCTGCCTTGAACTCAAGAATTCACTGTCTTGCCTCTAGTGCTGAGTTAACGGCATGCCACCTGCCCGGCCACCTGACTTTTAGAGCCTAACAGAATGTAAAGGGTGGTGATGAAGGGTGGCAGGTAAGACTGAGTATAGGAAGAAGAAGAATCTAAGCTCTCTCCCACAAAGGTGGACTTATCTTTATTATTTCCTTACTAAATGAGAACATAACTGGTACAAGCTACTACATTCTATATGTCATGTCTTTTTCAGACACTTTTGGAAATGATAAATCAAAGTGAGCCCGAAAGAATTTTTTCATGGTTTTTAACATTTCAAATCTATTATTCATAGAAAATTATGAATTCCTAAGATTAAGCTATAGACTCAGAATGCTTACTGGAACCAAAAGACGTAAAGTTATTTTGGAACAAAGATGAAGATAACGTGACGAGACCGCCAGTGCATGACGTCAAGTCATAACCAGACACTCATCCAGAGTGTGCGACTAAGGACAATATGCTGACAGGGACTCTAAAAGGCAGCTCTCCTTGTTAGCAACCACCTTCTGTCAGTGACTTCACTGCAGAGCCTTGCTGCCAGACACAACCACAGCCCTTCAGTCACTTGTCGGGCCTGTGCTGCTTGTCAATCTTAGTTTGTTCCAAAGGAAATTACACAGCTTTACCAAGCCCACGTTAGACATGTGCTTCCCTAAGAACTGTCATTAACTGACCATGCTGACTTTTAAACCACCTGCTCAGGCACATATCCTCTCCTACAAGACCCCAGTCCACCCTACAAAACTCTACACCCGCCCACAACACCCCAGCCACTACTACAGTACTCCACTGGGAGAGGCAGCCACACACTCAGCAGTGCTGGTGCAAGGTAAGGCACATGGCCTCTGACTGACCTTGAAATGGTGCAGGTGAGGACTGGGCCATGTGTAGGTGCTCCTCGTTGATCAGGTAGATTGGCTGGTGCTGAGCAATCTCCACACTTGTGCACACGTTACTCTCCCCATGAAGAAAGAATGTGAAAGCACAGGACAAATGCTCACTGGAAGAAGAACAGAACAGTTGGTTGCACGCTTGGCAGGAAGCAGCGGTGGATCGCACCTGGATGCCGCTCTGCCCTTCTGGCCACCCAGCCAAGATGCCTCCCCATCTTGTCTGCTGGGGACAAACAGCAGCCTCCAGTTGATGGTGTGTCAAAACAAAGCAGGCCTTACTCATCAGCACTCACAGGTGCTGGACCGGATGTCCTTGTTCACACACGAAGCTCCCTTGTCAGCCTGAGACGGGAGGGCCCACAGGGCCTCCCACACAGTGAGCACTCAAACCCTGCTAGCTCAATAAAGAAGGGAAACTTTAAGAATTACTTTTAAAGTGGACTATGAACAAGATCAAAAGCAAGGGAGCTGAGATTCTACCCTATGGTAGAGGTAACAGTGGCTTTGCTTATTTGGGGCACAGTGTAGCAAGCATGTTACACAGCTTAGAGCGTTATATAAGGTTAAATAAAACTGGCTTCAATGGTAGGAGCAGGTTGGCACATGTGTGTCACCTGAGCACATGGGAGTCTGAGGCAGAAGATCTACCCAGGCACTGAGGTCAGCCTGAACTACTCTGGGAGGTCCTACTTCAAAACAACAACAGGACTGATTGAGTGCAGAGTCCACACCAAGCTGTGTGATGCTGCCTCCACTCGAGGTAAGGGGGTATCTACTGTATCCTCTATTTTGACAATTTACATGCTTTTCATTTATGTACTGATTTACTGAGGTGTCTGTCACGGGAGGAACGTTACCACAGTGACATAGTCTTTCAAAGTTGTTAGCTTTGGTCCTGAGCCAGCAGTAGTAATACACCCTCGTTCCTCAAAGTGTCCTCAAGAACACTTGCCTACGAGTCAAAACCACACCAACGACGCAGCCACCTCTGGGAAGTGACTCCTGCTCACAAGGTCTCCGAATTATGACAGGGCATATCAGAAACACTCCTCAAAAGATAAAACCTTGTTTCAAGAATAAAATCATAATGCTTTACAGAAAACGAGAGAGGTACATCACTACCACAAAGGGAAGTCCACGTGTTCCTGTCTGGTCAGGGTACCCTGATGGTTTGTGCTTTACAAAGAATGTAAAGTTCTGTCAGTAGAGTGCACTTGGTCTCGGAATATTCAGTATAACACAGCCAAGGGTGGCACATTTGGGAAGATTTTTTTTTTCAAAAACCCAGAAAGACTTGTTGATATTCACACATTTAAATTTCAAGTCCACAAAAAGGAACATATTTAAAGCCATACAATAGTAAAACTGGCTGTCCTTTACAAAATCAGTAATTAGAAACACGAACTCTATGTAGCACACAACAGAACCAATCCAGTTTTTGTGACCCTAGATCTTTCACCCAACGGGTTGAGGCGACTCGTCCTATGCATGCCCCTAGCTATTCTCAGTGTAGCACAGTTTATAGCAACTGCTGGGAGCCACAGGTGCACAACACGACTCTGCTGTCAACTGGGCACGAACCGGAAGCTGCCCAGCTAGCACCTAGTGAGCCTGAGGCCTGTGCAGAGAGCTCAGGGGCTGGGGAGGGGTGGTCCTGACCCTGAAGAAACCCACACAGGGTGGGGGCGGGGGCGGGGGTGGGGGTGAGGGTGGGGGTGGGGTGGGATAAGCAGCGAAGGAAGCAGTGCAGAACACAAAGGCGGGGCAGGATCCAGAGTGAAACATGGAGCCAGCCTGTGTGTGGACAGCACAGTGGAGTTTGCTGAAAGGAGACGAAAGGAGACGGTTTTGAGAAAGGCAAGAGCTCAGCTCAACTCAACAAAAAGATTAGTAAGTGCAAAGCAGCAGAGAGTAGATGCCTTTGTTGTAACAAGTTAGCAGAGTAAAGGAGCTGTTAGGTGACGTCACACAGCATTCACTTGCAGTTCTCACAGCCCATGAAGAACAGAGAAACGTGAGTAGAAAAAGAGAAGATCTGAGTCAACTGCTTGTTTTTACTATTGATTACTTAAAAAGCAAAATGTCTTTTTAAAAGAGGTAATTAAAATAAGGCAAGGAAAGTACAAGGAAAAGACCAAGCTTCAGAGGAAGCAGCCAGTGGGTTCGGTACCTGTCCCCACTGCCAGCTGACTGTCTCTCTGAGGATGCCCCTATCATGTGCAAGGCAGCTGTAGGCACAGGCTGCTGCCTCCAGAGATTCCATTCTGCCACTTAAATCATCAGCCTGATGCAGGCACACTACAGTGGAAACTATTATGAGGGAGAAACGGTTCTGAAATAGTGCAGGTAGTGTACCTGCTTCTACCAAGAGGACAGAGTCGGAGGAAGCGCATGCACACAGTTTGTTTACCCTGGCGTAAAACTGCTGTGGGACAATCTACTTTAAAGTCTAGCCATTCCTGCAAGCCATGAGGTGAGTGAAGGAGATAATTCACACAACCCTTTATATCTTTGGATACCTGCCATTTGCCACACAGAAAGCTACTGAGGTAAGATCAGACAGGCCCTGCCTCTTGCTGCTGTTCTGTGTACCCACTGCCCATGCTCTTCATTCTGCCCCATTTTGTCTTTGGTGCTGTCTGTATACAACTCTCCGGTTATGTGCTCAGCAAACCACAAGGATCCTTAGCCACTGCACTACTACAGTGATAGGAAAGATCACACTGGCAAACGTCTGTGTCATCTTGTCAGGTAGCCAAGTCACAGTTCACTGGGGCACCCTTGTCTCCAAAGATGCACAGACAGCAGTCTCGGCGCCCATGGCAGGCACACTAGTACCATCCAGGCCATTTCCTACAAAGGTCCTCCCTCCTCTTACAGAAAGGACATGCTGAAAACCATCCGAGTTCTAAGGCATTCACAAGGGCACAGCTGCAACCAGGCCTGGAAATCAATGTTGTTCGCATTAGCTAGCCCAAAATCATGGCTGGTCACTCGGGCCCTTCCCATCTGGTGTACTGTGTCCATAACATGAGATTCATGAATGGACAGTGAAAGCACAGGACTATAGCAACAGAACAAGTGCACATGCTGTTATACGCAATGTTCTAAGCTTGGGCACTGTCATTATTCATCCTATGTGTTTGCCTGCAGGCATGAGTTTACACATGCCATGTATATACATGAGTCTGAGGAGGCCAGAGGAGGCCAGTGGATACCTGGAGTTGGAGTTGCAGGGTTGTGAGCCTCCATGTGGGTGCTTGGAACCAAACAGGAGCAGCAAACTTAACTTTGGGGCCACCTCTGCCCCTCACAGGGTTTGTATTCATAACAAACTCCAAGATGGTGAGAGAAAGGGGAGGAGACTGGAAGCAGGAAGGCAACAGATGACAGGAGGATGGCAGTGTAGGAGAGTTCTAAGTCTGTGGGATCAGCTGAGCTGTTGGTTTCAGTTCTTTTACTTTAGAAACCTTTCTAACTGCCTCCATCTCCCCCTCCTCCCTATACACACACGCTCGCGCGTGTGTGTGTGTGTGTGTGTGTGTGTGTGTGCGCGCGCGCGCGTGTGTGCGTGCTCGTGCACGAAGTGCAGAAACTGGTGCCCTTTATCCTCTCTTCCACTCTGCCCTGTGCCTTCAGGCAGTGCCTCCCTCTAAAGTTGGCAACTAGGAAGCCCCACCTGTTCATCCTCCTGCCCCAGCCCTGCCTCCCAACACATACACCTACCTCGGTGTTACATAAGGCCACAGCAGCTCTCTCTGCTGCTGGGATCACAACTCTGGTCTCCGTGATTGTGCAGCAAGCACTCTGGACCACTGAGCCACCCCTTGGGCCCTGAGTTTTGTTTTTCAAAAGTCACATTCAAGAAAAACAATGGCCAATGGGAAGCATACAAACCAGTCTTCATGAAGTTTGTTCTTTGTATTATCTATCTGTTTTAAGAAAAGTGTGTAATGTTTGAAACATGTAAGCAAGAAATGTTGAAACAGTTGCCTGGAGTTTGTTCATAAAATGTCATTTTAAATGCCTTGATGCTATTGATAAGACAATTTATTGAAACATTTTCAAAGAAGTAAACCCTCCCTTCAGGTGCAGCCAGACTCCAAGATGTTATATACTTGAGGCCCTGCTGCTGAGGACACTTGGCTAAGCATGGTTCAGAGTACTCCCTCAACCTGTCTTTTTATTCAAAGCTACAAAGAAGCCACCACAACAGTTTTTTTTCAAAGGAATCCAGGTAAATCCAGCATTGTGGTCTGTGGGCAGTGGAAGGCCCTTTCTTCCTCCTTGGACTGTGGTGTGTCCCTAGTTAGCAGTGTGAAATAGCATGTTCCTGGTAACCAGAAGCAGCATACAGGTGTGTAGTATGAAGAGTGTGGCATCAGGATAGCCTCACGAGCTCAGTAGCCCCTGGCTGGACTACTGCCGGCTCCTGGGCTGCACACTCCCTGCTGGGCTGCACACTCATTGCTGGGCAGCACACTCTTCACTGGTACAGAGCTGCACCACACCCGGGGCTAGTGCTGCCACTTTTTTGGTAGAGTTACCTGCCTTTCCATTCCTCATCTTTTCTGTTTAAAGTGAAGTAAAGACCAAATATGGCCCAGTGCTTCTGTGTCACCCATCTTGAGATATCTCACTGACTGACTTTTGAGCCAGGAATCACATCTGTCCTGGGCTGCACTTGGATGGCCTTGGTGGGGCAGAAACTGAGTATTTATTTCCTTTGTGACACTTTCCTCTTCAGTCTTTGCCTTTCTTCCATTTTTCTAAGATACTAAACGGCATCTAGAGTTCTGGGTTAAAACACAAGGACATTGAGTCACAGCTTGGTAAGGGCTGTGCACAACAAGCACAGCTCTTCCCTGCAAGGAGTGACAGGCTGAGAGACTAGGGTAAATACTGTCACACTCAATGAGCCTTAGGAAGGCAGTGAGCTTGAGGGTAGCTGTGCTGAGTGTGTGGACAGGTTAGGAGAGGCTTTAAGGCTAGGATGAAAGCAAACCCCGTCCTTGATTGAACAGTTTGGGGTGGAGCCCAGTGCTGTGCTGTTATGTACCTCTCTTCTGGGACCGCTTTCCAGTGCTTTAGTCAAGCTGGCTTCTGA